TGACATTTTTAATTAAATAAATCAAATTATGGTCTCTTTCTATCAATCTGTTGAAGAGACTAAAAACACCTGAAGAGACCATATTTTTTTAAATCAAGTACAATTATTTATTTTGGGGTACTTGCAAATACTGAGTATCATACAAGTATCATACTACTTCAAAAATGTCTTTTTTTATCCTCTTCTTTTACATCCTCAAACGAAGTCAGAACAAAAAATTGTTTCCAAAAATGCTTGTATCTAATGCCATTATCCATATCCATTACCACCCCCCCCCCCAAAAAAAAAAAGAATTTCATGGCTTGTAGTCATTTTAATTTAAATAACACCAGATCATGTCAAGAGCTATTTCTACTGTCGCTCCTCCACATCTACCTCTTTTATGAAACGGCAAACTTGAAAACAAAGACAAAAATGTGGTTCATATTCTGCGCAGAGTCACGTGCAAAAGTCTTTCTTAATTTTTTTTGCATAAACACCAATTCCCTAGGGGAAACACTGATATCTCCTGTATTTCCCCTAGGGAATTGTATGTATGCATATCTTCTGCTCACTGAATGGCTGTAACTGTTTCCTTCAGTTGTTAAACTGGAAAAACTTAAAAAAAAAAACTAAACTGAACTCAACCATGCTAGTCTTTTACATTTTATCAAATTGCTTGTGTTAACGGTGGGTTATGGCAATATTTATTTAACAAAGACAGAAATAAGTGGTCCAAGAATGAAAGTACTCCATGGGATGATCATCTGAGTTTTATTGCAACAAMAGGAAACACAGAGAACAACCTGCCCTGTCTATGTGCCTCTGTTTCTTTCTGTCACTGTCTCTCCACTGTGTCACTCACTCGAGAGGCCTCATTTATATATTAACAAACACCATTATATCATCTTAGCAAGATTTGATACAAGGTCAAGGGAAAACAAAAAGATAAACACAAGTGATATCTAAGAATGATTGTTGTTAGCAAATTTTGTTCTGACTTTAATCATTCTATCTGCAGATGAACAGCATGTCATGAAAACCTACAGTTGTGGTCAAAAGTTTACATACACTTGTAAAAAAACATAATGTTATGGC